CGTCCACAGCCTTCCCCTCGTCCACCAAGGATACTTTTAAGATTTGAAAATACCAAATAAAGTAGTGTATTTAAGAATTGGGTGTCATGTACAGTTGGAAGTCTTGCGAGAAACTAACTCAAACATGAACACAGACCTTGCTAGGTGTTCTGGTGTTCAGATCTGCTCCACAAAATGAATTGTGGATTCTCTTTACAGGAATTTCCATTTGATGTCCATGTATATAAGAAATTTTGAATGGAACATTGCTGGAGGGGTAGCAGAACCGTGCTAATGCATTTGTTATGTGCTAAGATTGTAGCTGACACTTCCTAAAACCCTATAAAGACATTATCCCTATAATGAAGTTTCCACGTGTCTGAAAGATGTAGAGAATAGTGGAAATAACATTGATTTAGATGCAGGAAGACTTCCTGATAGAAATGTTTGAAGTCTCAGCTGGGTATCTAAGTGCCTTTGAACATCTGATTGAGAAGGGCGATAGTGAAAGCATTGAGCAGTACAAGATTGCTTTAAAGTAGGAAAAAAGGGAGCAGGGAAAGGAGTTAGACAGAGTTGGCTGGGAATGAAACGGCCAGCAAGATGCCAGATAGTCTGTGAACAAACCAGTACTGAATCATGTTCTTCCTTCCCCCAAAGTCCTCTAGTTCTGTATGCAGTTGTCCTGATAGTGTATCACGAGACTGATGAGCTGGAAAATGTGACAGTGACAAATGTTGCAATGGTTCTGTTCAAACATGTTTTTTTAATTTATGTATTTTTTTTAGCTTAGCTTCTTAAGAAAATAAGGCTTATGTAATTGTGCTGTCGGAAAGTCAAACCTCTTACTCATGTGGCTAATATCAGCTAAATTTGAGAGAGGGAAGGCAGATGTAATTATATTTTTGCAGAGTCTGTGAAATGGCAGCTGAGTAAGAAGCAAGCGGGTGCTGTGGTGCTGCCGAGGACCACGCAGGCCCTGCTTGTACCCATGGAGTTTGCAGCTGCCTGGACAACTGGTGAAGGTGTGCTGGTCAGCCTGGCACTGCTGGCCCTGGCGTGTCCCATCTGGTGCCCAGTGGAAGCACTGAGATGTGGATGAGGAAAATTAATTTTTATTTGGTTTGATGAAGTCGTGTGGGAAAAGATTGCTGTGAAACCTGGAAAAATATATCTTGTAGAATTACTTCTCTGCAAAAGTTACCTGTTTCTGGCCTTGTTAGGCATTTACTTCTTTGTGATTGAATTTCTGCTGCATTATAACAGTGTTCGTGTTATTTTTGTAGATTCATTTAACTGGCTCATGCTGCTACACTTTACTGAGGAAAGCTGTTTTTTCATGAGGTCCTGTTTTGCATGGAATGAAACAAAAGCCTTGATGCAGCCCCGGTGTTGCTCTGAAGACGTAGGAAGTTTGATCAGTGGTTTAATAGAGCCCAATTTCAGTGTTGCCACCCAACGTGGTAGCACTGCCTTTACCTTCTTTCTGCTTGCTTGTTGCTGGCTCTTTTGTACAGCTGCGAATGTTTGTACAGCTGAAACGGCAGGGTGAACAAGCCACGGAACCGACCCAGCTGAAAATTAGCCCAATAATGTCTTTCCTCTCCTTTCATGGAAAAATAACCCCCAAAAGCTTTGTTTGTGATCTTGTGAGTATGTATGTGTCTTTCTAGTTTTATTTTCTTTTTTTCTGGTACCACATGGGCAGGAGCTATTTACTTGAAGAATTTCTGGAAAGAATCCTGCTTTGATACTTTCTTCTGGGATTATTTTTTTGCTTTCTCTGAGTAGAAATGAATTTTGCTTCTGTTGTTCAATGTTTCTTTTGTCCCCTTCAAAGGGTAATGCCACAGAGCTGTCACAGGTGGTTCTTATTTTTCTGGTCATGCTGTTATAGCAATACTGTTTCTTGAACTTGTCTTCCCAGTCCTTTTTTTCCCCCTCTGTATAGCTGTTCCAATATCTGTTCTGTTCTCCTCCAATTATTACTGTTAACCTCTGCCCTTTTCCTTTTGTAAACTTGTAACTATTTCAACAACAAAGTGATGTTGATATGAAAAGCTAAAATAAGTTGTGTGCAATTGTGAAGAATGTGAATTTAAGGTAGCAATCCAAGGGTTTTCTCCTGAGAAGTGAATCTCTTCAGGTGAACTGTGGGATTGTTTTTTGAAACATGTTTTTTGTAATTAGAATGTTTTGGGTGCTGGGTAGGGAAAAGGGAAGGATCATACGTTTTAGTAAATGAGCTGCTTTCCAGCTCTTCTTACCTCTTGAATCCAGGAGGAGATGAGACTCTGTCTGTATGGAGCTACTTCAGAGGAAAGCTTCAGTGCCTGGTAGCAGGGCTTCACCATCTCCCCTACACTTTGTCTCCTCCATAAATGGCACCTTGGAATTGATGATCTGTTTGGAGGCTTTTAGCAATACTTCATTTACCATCTGCTCATGTTGTGCGTTGTTCTTGAGAATCTGTGAAGATTGCTCAGCTCCTTACAGGATTTGGGCCGTAATCAAGGCTGACACTGACTGGCATATTGTCAAATTGTGCATGTATCATTTATTGTTAGATAACACTGGACATCCGTTAGTGTCTCTTGGCTAATCAAGAATGTTGCCTCACATATTCTTACGATGAGAGGGCGAAGGATTCTTGTCGTAGCTGCCAGCTTTCATCATCCGAGCGGATTGCAGAAGACGGGACTCTAGGGACAATTGAGAACAGGAAGTTTGAAGATTTGCTATGTTCTCCTGAAGCGTTGGAATGACTTTCATAGACTCAGGGCATTGTTTCCACAAGGTTGCTTTTGTCTTGGTTCTTTCTTTTTGTGGTAGTTATTATTGCAAAATAAATGTGTAGTTATTTCTAAAACTGTCAATCTGTGTGCCTGTTCCAGGGCGATTTGATGAAACTGTGATTGAAGAAAGAATGCAGTGTGCTGAAGATCTGTTGCAGTTTTCTGCCACTATCCCTGCTCTCTACAACAGCAAACAGCTTGAAGAGTTCTTTAAGGTTTGTTAGTATTTGCAGAAGTATTTTCTTCTTAATGATATATTCATACACAAGTACAGTGCTGATTCTGCTTTACTTTATAAACTGCGGTGTGACGGTAAGCTGATCTGACGTGCTTTGTGAAGTGACTGGGAGTTTTCCATTCACTCTAGAAATGTGGCTTTAAAAAAACCTCCATGCCACACCTCTGCAGGGTAGAAAGTTTTAAAGGTGAAGGGATTTGGAATTTTTGTTTATTGAATGATGAGCAAAACCTGTGATGTTAAATCCAAGTGTTCAGTGGGGAAGTAATACAAATATTGTCACTGTTTTTCTATTTTATATAGGCATTTATAGTTTGAAACCAAAGGAAGGCAGGCTGTATAGACCACTTTCTTATGGCCTGTTATGGATTCAGGTCTGTGACAACAAATTTGGCGTGGAACTAGTCAAATGTGCAGCTTGTACAGTGTTGTGAGAACCACTCTCCACAGCATATTTTAGGACAACAAGTTGATCTGGACTTCCTCTTTATTACATCTGAAGCAGTTTGTTTCCAATAGTTTGAAGGAACTTTATTTTATTTTCTTTATTTTATTCTCATCTTTGTTTTCAGTAGCTTAGGCCGACATTCTGTGAACACATAAACGTAAATTTACATGTAAACATATAGTAACTCCCTGGAATGAAGGAAATGCTCATCTGGCTGAGATGGAACTTAAATGTATTAATGATTTAAGTATATTTAAATGGTACATATGCAAAAGCAAAATTACAGCAAAATTTAAAAGTCTTCACTTGTTTTCATGATGCAGTGATTGGAGAGTTCTTTAAAATACTTAAAATAATTTTCTTTAAGCTTTAGTCATGACAGTGACTGAGAGACTGAGTTGGAATATTATGCTTTTCAGTTTATTTGCATTTGCATTTTTTCAGTTCTTTGGAAATACGTCTGTGTTTTGGGATATTTGTTGAGAGCTCTCTTCCGCTTCTTTGCTTAACAAAAGTATTAGTTTTAGCATTCCAATGAGTCTTTGCAAGGAAATGAATAAGACTAGAAAGACAGTAATTTTTATAGCAGCAGGTATGTCTACAAGGGGAATTATGAAATAGTGATAATTTACTCACATTTGTTAGTTGTGTCTTTGATGTTGTGTCACACTTTTCCTGTAAGAAAGCCTTAGGTTTTGATCAGTCACCAGCTCAGCCTGTGTCCTTTAGCTCTGCTGATGGGTGCTTGTGTTCCTTTTCAGATTTTTGTGCAAATAGCCATGGAGAGATAAACTTGGACAATGAAGTCTTAGAAACAACTGAAGGGACTGCTGTGTATTTATTTACTGTAGACTCCAGAAAGATGGGTCTGGCTAGTGTGAAAATGTGCTGGGCTAGTTCAGGATGGATTAACAGTGCCCAGTTGTAACACCACCTTGGAAACGGTGCAGTTCCTATTAAAGTTGCATGGAAAGTGTGCACCTGAGATGTGAAGCAGAAAATAAAAAAGCCCAAACATTTAAGTGGTTTCTAGTACTATTATTTGTTCCTGTTGTTACTTCCATTACCTTTGGTTCCTTTCAAGCTTTGGAGGGAGCAGTGTCCTCCTCATATACTGGGATGGCCTTGTCTTCCCTGTTAGTCCAGTCTTGACTACAACTGAACTCAAGATAGTGGATCACGGGTGAGACAGTGGCTTGGTGGACAGACACTCCTGCGTGAGGGACCTGCTGAGCTTGGGAACACCACTGAGGGGCACAGGCTGTGTGTTCCACGAGAGATCAGGGGCATCGCTGTTCTCTCCCTATTCAACTCTGGGGTTTGCAGGCAAACCTGCTGCAGCAGGCTGTTCAGATACATAGACAGTCTGTGGCAACCAAGCATGGCCTAACCAAAAGCCCTTGTTTAATTTGGCAGGCTTACATAGTTTAATTAAATGCATTAACTCTAAAGTAATGGAGCATTAACTGGTTAGGAAATACAGTGTTGACCATTGCTTCTATATAATGAGCCTTTTCATAGAGCACAGCAGCCAAATAATTCTTTTCCCTCTTTCTTTCCAGGGTGGGGAGGTGCATGATGGATCTGAACTGATTGGTCCTGTCGAGCCTCTGTCTGACTCTCTGACTGACACCATGTCTGACTGCAGCTCTGAAGGTTTGCTTTTTTTCCCCCATGTAACTTTGTAGTGTGAACTGTTTTAAAGCAAACTTTGCTTCTGACAGGAAGTTTTCTGGGAGATTGTCTAGTTCATTCTAGAAGTGCTAGTGCTCTGTTGCTCAAAAATAACCGTGTTCGGTGCTAACTGAACTGGACCCTCTGGTTTAAATGTACATGATCCTGTCTGCTTCCAAAAGGTTTGGCAAACGCTGTGGTAGTGTTCACTGCTAGTCATGACCCAAGTTTCAAGCTGTGAAAGTTTGCAGAGAACTTTAAAACCCTTTTGATGTTGATTAATAAATACAAAGATGATTGAATTTGCCTAGAGCATGAAAAATAGGTCTAAGATTTGAACTGCCCCTTTCAGAAGGTTCTCGTTCGGCTGTTCATGCTCTGGGTGTCACTATGCACTATGCAAAATCCATAAGAGAGTTGGTATCATATTTTACAAGTTTAAGTATGTCTTCTGGATTGAGTGTATGGGAGTGGTGAGTGTTAAATCCTGCTGCAGGGCTCAGGAAAATAAGCAAGTTGTTTAAGTCTCTTACAAAAACTGCCAGTGTCTTTCTTTTCCTGAAAATAACTCCCAATTCTTGAAAGTCTGGGAGGTGGTGTGTTTGAGCCAGTGTGGGCCTATGTTCAGTGGGAACTGGAAATCCCTTCCTTAACTTGTTGATGTTTCCCGGTTGTGCTATGCCAATGAAGGGCACATCTCTTTTCCTTTCTTTGTGTTTCCTTAGCACAGTGTAAAGATGTACATAGTGGCTTGGATACCATGTGTAGAGTAATTTTAGTGGTACTTCACTTGCACTAAATAATAGTATAGCTGTAAGGTAGGGTCAGTCGGCCCAAATAAATACTGTGTTAGGGCTTCTTGCCTGCCTCTGGAGGCTGAGCTAACTTAAGCATCTCTGCATATAATCGTCTGCCAAGTACCATGAAATCTTTCAGATATTGATGTATCCTCTCAGTTATGCTTGGGTCCTTGTGAATAAGAAGCTCTTTTCCAACCCTTCAAATTTTCCTTTGAAACTGTTTTACACTTGTGTAAATACACATTATTCTACAAATGTTTAATTAAGCTTTTTTAGGAGGGTTTTTATTAAGTAGTTAATTTCCTCTGGTCTTTGTGGCATAGAACTTGCTTTGGTAAAACTGCTTGAATAACAAGAACTGCTTGTGTTTTCTAATAGTATTTGGTTTATTTATTTATTTTTTTGCTGGAGGCTGTGTGGCTTGCCATTGGGATTTCTCCATGTCAATAACTTTGTGCTTAGTTGTAGAATACATTCTACATGAGTAGTCAATTTTACATTTTAGTTTGTAGTATCTTCTCTGATGTTGTTGAACTACTGCCCCCACAGTATTTAATTCTGTGAAGGGAAATATATAGAGCTGTTTAATTACAGAGGGTGGTTATGATAGACACTGGTAGTTGGTTTTAAAGGGACACTAGTGCTGTGAAATTTTTACATTCCAAATTCCAACAATGCACTCACTTTACATTGTGCCTTATAAAGGAAAAAGTGCTTCTAAAAGTGCTTAATATGAACGTTTCTATTCATTCACAAGAGCATCATTTTTAGAGAAAGAAAAACACTTCCTTTATGTGAGATAAAATATCGAAAAGAAGAAAAATGCTGTAAAGTAGAAAAATTCTTTGATAGTCTTCTGAATTGGCTGGAGTGCTTTTAGGGGATACTTGCAACAGCTATGAGCACAGTATTTCCAGATGCAGAATGTAACTTTTGTGGAGCTGTCTTTTTCTAAAAACCTGTGTGACTTCCAGCTCATACTTTCTTATGCTCGAAACCACATTTTGCACTGGGAGGAGACTGGGGAGAGGAGGAAACATCTGTCTTTAAGGCCTCTAGATGGCAGTGGCAATACTTGGCTCTGAGTCTTCTCTGCCTCTCCTCAGGGCATCCTGCCTACATCTCAGTTTTCCCAGTCTGATTATCGTGGTTCACTGTGTTAGTTCTTGTGAACGTTCAAGGACCTTGATGTGGACGCTGTTCCTTCAAGCTGTTGTACTGAGAAGTATCAAACCCATTCTTTAGCAGGTGCTGGTGTTTGCTTATAAGGGTGGGTTGTGTTTTCTCACTTTTATCTGTTCTTTTCGGACAAAGTTCACTCTGCAGAAGGTGCACCTATTAATGGTAGAAGGTGCAAACTGATGGTAGTAGAAATGTTTTTGTATCAAAACCAGTGATAAGTGTCTTGCTTGTAAGAGCAGTTTGACAGTTCATGCTTTCACAGGAACCTGCTTTTCAAGAGGCCAGGTTACTCAGGGATTCCTCCAGTTTTTGGAAACTACATTTACTCCTCATACCAGGTGAAATTGCAGAAGCCAGAGACAAGTACAGGAATTTATATTCAATTTCAGCATCATTATACTCATCTGATATTCCTTACAATCACTCTTACTCTCTGGGTACCTGAGATTAATGTTCATATGTCCAACTTCCTCTCCAAAGTTCTTTCTGTACCAATTGCCAGATTCTTTAGATAAATTCACTAGGAAGCTCCTATTTTTTTAAAATTCTTCCTCCTCCCCACTTTCTGTTTTGCTGTGTTCACATTGTCTTCCCAGAAATAAGCATATGCAGTTCAGACTCTTCGTACCCTGTGGTTGTGGTGCCAGACCTGGGCTCTGGACCTGGCCTTAAGCGAAGTCTATTAGCTCAGGCTCTGTGCCATGCTAGCTGTTGTTCATGTAGCTTCTGGTCAAGCTGGCTGCAAGAGAAGAGCAAATGTGGTTTTGTTTGGACTGTAAGGAGGAGAACTTGGGTCTGTCTGCAATTGCTGTGTGGATGTGCTCTAATGCCTGTAGTGTGGGTGGCCAGCACACCCTTCCCACAGCTTTTACATTCCTTACCTGCACCCTTTGTCTGTCAGTTGGCTTTGCTCCCACCTCTACATTCCCTTGCTACCGATTTCTCTTCACTGAACAAAATAACTTGACTCCTCTAAATGTTTTTTCATAAATTCTCAGTCTTCTCCACCCAAATTTGACATTGTGGTCCCTAAATTGGGCAGGTGAATGACCCATTATTAACACACTATTAATCTATCTTCCATCTTCCTCCAGCTGTTTTGTTGTCAGGTTGCCTTCCTTCTTGCAGGACTTGGGACTGTCCAGCCAGTTTTCTTCTCTACATGGGCACTTTGCTTTATGTTCCTCTCCAGAAAACATCAACATTGTCTTCTGTACATCTTGTCCCCTCTTCTCAAGTAGACTTGTCACTAAACATCACTGTCCCTTGCTTTTCAGACAAAGAGTAGCTGGTAATCTGTTCTCCTTCCTGTCTTTTTTCTCTAACTCACATCAAAGGACCTGCTGGGTTTTAGAAAAGCAGTATTTCTACAGTGCTGCTTTATTTCTCTTCCATAAATTATTTACTTCCTATAACTCTGAAGTTGCAAAATTGAAATGAAAGTTTGAGTTGGTTGCCTTTGAGTCAGCTTCTTGCTGCTGCCACATACTTTTTGAGGATAAGACAAAACACTTTACCTGATAATGTGGATAAACCCTTGACTCTGTTGATAATACAAAAGAAAACAGACACCAGGTTTTAGCTCAGAATTTACTTTCTTTATGTGTACAAACAGCTAAATGTCTTGACCTTGTTGCCTGTTTTATTGCCTCAGTGGGTACATGTGCCAAGATGATAAAACAAACTGCTACTTGATATCCAGGTGGCACTGCCAAATTTGTGGCTTACTCCATATGTCTCATGCAGGGTGCTATTCTGGAGTGACATTTTTGAGACTGAAAGCTGGATTTTCTTTTTTTTCTTGGTGCATAGGTCCGAGCTTTGAAGGCTCTCCTGTTTTAAGTCTCCTTAGCTGTAAATCATCAGAGCAGTGAGAGATAGGGATTAAAGTGCTGCTGCTATTGAAATTTGGTAAATGGGAGTGCTGAGATTTGAATTAGCCCCCCATAAGCAAGCACCTGTGTTTTGTTTTTTAACCTCAGAGGCAATGAGAAACAGCAAATCTAATACCACTGTCACAATTTTAATGGTGTGTTACCAAACAGGTATCTCTGATAGCTGGTCGAAGACCAGTTTCATATTATGTACTTTTACCTGTAGTAGGGTTGTGCTCTTTCATTTTGATGACAAGTGAACATATAACCTGTTGTACAGAAGGATGCCAGAAACATTTTTGTCATTCTTGTCCTTTTCAGTTCGAAAGGATTTAAGTGGGCTTGATGATGTGACACTTACGAGCCAATCAGAATGTGGAGGTGAGATCTACAAGTTGTTTCCATTACATTTGTGGAATTTAAATTATTAGAAAGTCATAATTATGAGTGAACACTTTTTGTGAATGATAATCCTTACAAAATGAAGTGGCATATGTGTAAAATGTGTTTATTGCCATTTATTTCCAAATAACCCTGCTACATTGCTGTGGTTTAGTTACTGAAGGTCAGCTTGCAGTGAGTAGATGTGCTTTTAGCTCACGACAAATGTAAAATAAAATGTGTTAGCTCAAATTTCAATGGAAGATGTAGGCTAATTCATTTTACCACGTTTCAGCAATGAAAGAAGGGTATACATGGTAGATATGAGTTAGAATGCTGCATCATAGATATGTAAGCTGACAGTAGCTCTGTGTTAATTTAAATTCCTAATTTACTATTTTTGGGTTGCTTCATCTTAACTGATTTAAAACAGCATGTTGGGATTTCTTGCAATAGTGATCTAACTTCTGCTGATTGACTCTTCAAATAGCAGTCGCAGAGAGGGTTGGTTTTGTGATTTCCTGGAGCTAAATGGTGAGCAGACTTTGAAAGTTGGGTGTTAGATGCTGGTATTTTCATTCCCAGTATTAAAATGAAGACTAGTTGCTCTGTGGGGTTTGTAGCTAATTTTAAAAAGCATGTTTCTATAGGTACTAAAAAATAATTTTTAAAGACAGCTTTACATGCAGGAAATTTCTGTGTATCAACTCTCAGAAAGCTCCATAAGTGAAAAAAAATCTAAGATCTTTGGATAGGATGAAGAATTTTGGAGGTTTCTAGGTACATGAGAAATGTAGAGTAATGGATGTCTTTTTGATTGTGCTTTCAGGCTTCTCCAGTGACAGTGACCTGATCTCTCTGACGGTTGATGTAGACTCTCTTGCTGAGTTAGATGATGGAGTGTCATCCAACCAAAGTTCTCCCAGTAGAACTGTTGGCCTCTGCCTTACTTCTGAACCCCTGGTACAAAGCACACTGGCACCTGAGCAGGAGTGGAGCAAACCTGAAGCAGAGAGGGAAAGCCATGGTTTGTTTACTGGAAGCTTAAAACCCAAGCCTGGTAAACAAGATTACTTGGAGAAAGCAGGTGAGTTGATAAAACTGGCCTTGAAGAAGGAGGAGGAAGAAGATTATGAAACTGCCTTCAGCTTTTATAGAAAGGGGGTTGATCTGCTTCTGGAAGGTGTTCAAGGTATGGATCTTCCCATTATGTTTGCCTCACCTTTGGTTCTAGATATTTGTTTATGTTCTTTCCTTAGCTAACATCAGCTTACTGTGCTACAAAGAGGTGATATGAAATGCAGAATGATGTGTACCTGGCTTTCACATGCTTGATAGCCACTGTGTGCATGAGAGAGAGGGAGAGAAAGAGAGAGAGAGAAATCTTTCTTTCTGAGACCGAATGATAATTTAAGGTCACATCTTCCAAGTGCCAAATATCTCCTCTAAAATTGCGGCACAACCTCCGACTTGCAGGCAAGTAGTGAAGTGCTTCACTTTTGCCTCTTTCCTTTTTATTACCTAAGCATTAATTAATATGTGGCACTTGCAGCACTGTTGAAACATTATTTAATTTATGTGGTTAAGTGAGGATTAATTATCCCCATTTTCCGCATGGGAAGAGGCAGTCTCAGGTTAACTTCCCAGTTGCAACAGTATTAGAGCTGTTCTTAGCTCACAGCCTCTTGCTTCTTCCACTGAACTGTTCTGCTTTTCTAGCTAAAGGATGCATGGAAACTTAGGAGTCTGCACTGCTGGAGAACAGGATTTTTTTTTTTTTCCCCAAAAGACTTTGGTGTGTCAGTACACATCTGCAAAAGCTGTTGTTAACCGACCAGATGCAACTACACACAAATTTCTGTGGAGTCTCCTTGCACCTTGTCAATCACGGAACAAGTTTTTCCTGTTCCATCTGTAGCTCTTGAGAACCTATAGCAGTAACCTCATATATTTGCATTTTGTCCATCAGTGGCTTAAAGGCTTAAAGCTATAAAGTACAGGAAAAAAATTGTTCTTTCCTGGAGTGAATTCAGGGTCTGTGTATCGTGCTTCTGTCCCACACAGATCAAATGAGTGAGGTTAGAATTGTGGCTTTGTTTGGCAGTATACAGCACAGATGCGTTATGCTGCTTCAGAGCTGAACTGAAAATGCGAACGTACCAGGCACGTACAAGCAGAAGCCTTTACTGCATCTCAGTAGGATTCACAGCAGTGGTCTGACCCTTTGAACAGTTCTAGGAGTGAAAGTTACCTGCTGAGCTGCTTTAAGGGGGCCTGGCAAAAATTGATGGACAGGTAACTGATGAAAACTAGCGATGTGGGCCAAGATATGTGTGTGGCCTTTGCTTAAAGCATCTTTTTACTTTTTGGCACAGGTAAATCTACCTCTTTCTTTTCATGTCCCAGTGTTGTCAGTAGGGTTACTGCTTTGCTGCTTCTTGTGGTTTTTTGATAGCATCCTATTTTTATCTTGCCCGTGTTATCGAAGTGCTTTTCATTCTTGATATTGAATGTGCTGGCAGTCCTTCTGTTGGAGAGCCCAGCTATTCTTTCTTCACTAATACACTTCTTCGTAGACCTGTGTGCCATTCAGTTGTGGTCTTCTGAAGAATATCCTGTTTCGTCATAACCTCTTCTGTCTTCTCACTGTGTTGCAAGACTACCATGATGCAGTTTCAAACTGCCAGTTTGAGTTTTGACTTCAAAAAGCTTTATTTATTGAACAGTTGCAAACTGTCAGGGCATGAACACAAGTCAGGCTATTGCACATCAGTTGAGCTGTGGTAACTATGCATGCGTACTTGACTTGTGACAGTGATTGAACATGTTGGCTTTGACTCCGTGGTAATCCTTGTGGTAATGTGTTTACCTCAAAGTTATGAAAGGTCATTCTTGCATGTGTAGTAGATGACTTGCTCAGTTGATGCATAACTCATGAAATTAGAGTGGGTTGAGCTTTTTACTTGTATTTACTAACATTCCTTCTAAGGACCTTTGCTTCTTTGCTGTTGACTAGCTACTCATCTAGCTACCTCAGACAACTGCTAATTATTTGTCTTGCCCAGTGGTATCTGTATGTCTCAGGCTAGGAAAAAATTCAAGGAGTCTTAGATAAGTGCGACGTTCTGCCCTGTTTTCCTGGTGCCACTCAGGGGTTATTAATTTACAATGGTGGTACCTCTGTGTGTGTGGGTAGAGGTGTTCCTGAGGGATGAAGAGATGTGTAGCCAGCACCTGCAACTGAACTGCAGAGAAGGGAATAACAGGAGTGAGTTTCTTTTTAACTGGCATCTTACCTCTTGGGAACATGAATGTACACAGGGTAGTTCTTAGTAGTCAGCTCTTCTTTCTCCTTTCTCTGTGTTACCCTGTACGGCTGTGGAGGTGGAAAAGAAATAAATGTTTGTCCTCTGCTGGGTACTTACACTAGATTTGGCTATGTACAGCTCATCTTGAGTCCATTTTCTTTGGAGCTTCAACAAGCTGGCAAGGAGATACTGATGTCCTTCTTTATAATGACAGGTCTGATTCAGATGCCTTCCTAAAAATACATGCCTTTCCAGGCTCTGAGGACAGTAAAAAAACCCCAACCAACCAACAACAAAAAAACTCACCAAAAATCCAACTGAAAAACCTACAAACCAAACACAACAAAAAAAGCCAGGAATAACTATCTGTATCTTGCTTTGTAATCTGGCTACTTTTAGGGTGATAATTTTAGTGTTGATATGTGAATATTCACCGTATGTTGCAATTAAAAAAACCCCAATGACCTTAACTGAATAACTTTAGCTATTTTAACACTCCTGGTTATGTATTTCATGGGGATAATAGTATGCTCCTTTCAAAGATAAGGATGGTGCAGTTGTTACGAAGTGCCCATGATCATTTGCCATTGATTATTTTTAGATTATTTTGTGTAAATTAGCCTTTGTAATATCTGAAAGTGAAGCACAGCATTCATAGATACTTACACACATAGAAAGCGACATTGCCTTTCGTTGGGCAGCCTTTGCAGAGTGTGTCCTCTTTAGAATGGGGTTTTGCATGTGAAATGGTAATACATATTTTTGCCACGTGGTGGCACCAAGGAAATAGAAATTGACACCTAAGAATTGCGCTCAGGAAAATGTAACCAGTGTACTGAAGGGAGGAGAAACACCATCCATCCTCTGTGTTTGAAATGTCTGTCAGAGTTACCTCGGAAATGTGGTGCCTCTGTAAGTTGGTTAGATGTTATCTGAAAGATGAGGGTGTCTCTGCTGCCAGCAGCTGCTCCTTTAGGCTTGGTACAAGAAGATCTACTTACTACTTACGGCTGCCTTGTCAAAGTCATGAACGAGTAAGTTTATTACTGCGAGTTTATAGACTTGTGGTGTTTAGTTTGAAGTAACTGGCTCTCATAAAGGTTGTCAGAGCACACTTGAGTCTGTTGCTTTTCTGACAACTTTCCGGCTCTCTGAGCTGGTGACCCCAATGCTGGACAAGGCAGGTGCTGCACATCCTTACACCAGAATCACAGAATCACAGAACGTTAGGGATTGGAAGGGACCTCAAAAGATCATCTAGTCCAATCCCCAAGAAGAGACGTCCATCTTCATTTTTGGCTGTGTGTGCATGCTCTCACAAGTATGGTGATGGTAATTATACTGTGCAAGGTGCGTATCTGTTTTCCTCTGCTAGTCTCTTGCAGAGTTTTAGTACTAAATCTTTTAAAGTCCTATTCATAGTCCTGCCAGAAGGCCTGATCTGCGTGTCACTTGGGGAATGAGCGCTCCTGTGTATGCTCAGAGGCTGGTGTATACCTTGGACTTGGGGCATCTCCTCTTTGTACATCTTGGGCCTACTTCTGCTCTGTACGTGCATTTAATATTAAACATGTTTTTTTGGAAGGAGGAGAACATATTCTTGAACTGTGAGTAGAGCCCTTGGACTGTCCATTGAACTAACTCTTGTACCTCCCTGCTTCACTTACACTGGAGCTTCCTTGGGTGCAGCGAGAGGAAATGGCTACCATAATTTCCTTTTTCTTCTGAACCGATTCTGCTCCCCTTCTTGTGTTTTGTGGGTGGTGTTGTGTACAGGATTTTGGAGCTTTTGGAAAGCAGGTCTGTAAGTGTGTTTTATAGGATGGTTAAACAATTCTCCAGAAGCTGAAACCTTCTGGAATTAAAATCTTCTGCCTTTTGAAGCATACTAGAAGATGAGTATATTAATTGATAGAAGCTTCATCTCACAATTATAGCTGTTTCTTTGTTGGCATGTCAGGGCATTTTGAGGTCAATGCATTGCTTCAGGCCTTGTGATGGAAAAAATGTGCTAATCAATAGCAAGCCACCAACTTCTAGGCTGGAAGTTAACTGTGTTTTATGTGAAGTAGTGCTTTCCCTGACTTTGGTGTAGGACGTAGTTTATATTAGGAAAAGGTAGATCAAGAGACTATAAAATTATGGGAAGAGCTTGTTGCAATGAAGGAGGGAGTCTTGTCTGTATAAACTTCTCTTAGGGATCTGGGCAGTCTGAGCTGTGTGATAAACACAGAGTTAACACTGTCGCTTGTTGCTGGGTTTCAGTAACTTCAGGCACGTGATGAAGCAAGAGCACTTCACAACATGGTCAGTCTCATTTGGGTAGAAGAGTACAAGATCTGTTCCATGTGGTTTAGAAAGCAAACACGTTCACATATAAGGCTGGTCTGTGACATATAAGGCTCCATGTTACACATTAACATCTGAAAGGAGATGATCCATTTACTCTGTCAGAGATTTGGGGTGTTTGTTTTCACATGTGTAGCAGCTGTGGATGGGCACAATGAATATTTATTTGGTTTAGGGGGCTGGTTCAGCGAGGCAGCATGGACCTCATTGCATGAAGTATGTGGTGCCTCTTAAGCCAGCTTAGCAGCCACAAGCTGTTTTCTAGGTATCTGCATTTTGCATTAGGTGTCTACAACTTCTAGATAAGCTGCTGGTGTCTTTGACAGTGGACTGCAAATGTCAGTTTTGCACTGCTCTGTGCTATTTTAATGTTTATCTAGTAAACAGAGCTGGAACAAAAATTACACAAATTACTGGAACCTTGCTAAAATGACTTTGACTTCTAACCCAGAAATGTATATACAATGAAATGCTGGAAATACTTTGGACAACTAGATGATATTTTTGGATATACTGAAAACAAACCAACTTGTGT